ATTATGAAGATGAGCATGTACTGGTGAGTATTATATTTTGTTCACGCTAAAACAAGGATTTGCTTCTACTTTTTAACATAGTCGCTCGTACAGAAAAAAGAAAGAATTCCTCATTTTGAACATTGTTAAACCATTCTTGAGACCTTCTTATGGATTGTCATGTATTCTAATTATTAACACAATTTTAATCGACATTTTTTTGTCTTCTTTGTTATGTTATATTCAGATATTTTGCAACGATTCTTCTGAGCCCAAGATGCTTAGTCTGAATCTTCTGGATAGCAAAGGATCAGACTTTTTTAAACAATTCAATGTTGGAGAATTAAGTAAYTCTGCAGATTTTATCAAAGCTGTTCTGGCGCTTTGTCCCATAGAAGCCCCGTTTTCCGCTGCACTGAGAGGTTTGTCCAACCTCGATGGGTATGCCAATTCGAAAGAATATGACCGAATGTCAAGTATGTCGTGTTTTTATATACAATTATGGCAATTTTTTTATGCAATTATACTGATTTAATTGTTTTCTGACACGTATAGTTATAAACAGTCAATAAATCCCGACATGCGTGGAAAGTCTGTGATCGAAAAATGCCATGTATTTGATTTCGTATCTACTAATATCATTGCATTATATTGTATTTGAGTAACTGCAGTAGCTTTCTAATAAGCATGCATATTCTTTCTGTATAGATTCTTCAGAACTGTCGTTTGAGCTGGAAATGCCTGACAAAATCAACCCCATTGATTTGTCTGATTCATCATCCAATATCTCGGCCCCTCTTCTCGCATCCACTCCAGTTCCAAAGCCTGATCCGAAGCAACGTAATAACAAGGGTTCAAAACAACCCTTTAACAACACTGTGGGCATAGCACTCTTTGACGGCCACAGATCAATTGGAAAGGTAATAGGGGAAGAATTGCCGAAATTTGGAGAAATTGGATGGCCACCACCATTCAGAAAAACAGTCAATATAATGAGGGAGTTTCTACTTAACAATTGTGGGCACTTTAGACTTTGGACAACTGGAAGCTTACAATTTCAAAAAGCGTATTTCAACAGAGTGTTTGGTCTTCACGAGACAAAGGTGAGAGGATAAAA